ATGGTAGGTGAAGATGGCACAGATCCAGATGCAAAGACAGGTGATGCAGCCACTTTGGAGATGGTAGGTGTGTGTGGCACAGATCCAGATGCAAAGACAGGTGATGCAGCCACTTTGAAGATGGTAGGTGAAGACGGCACAGATCCAGATGCAAAGACAGGTGATGCAGCCACTTTGGAGATAGGAGGTGAGTGTGGCACAGATCCAGATGCAAAGACAGGTGATCCAGCCACTTTGGAGATGGGAGGTGAAGACGGCACAGATCCAGATGCAAAGACAGGAGATGCAGCCACTTTGGAGATGGGAGGTGAGTGTGGCACAGATCCAGATGCAAAGACAGGTGATCCAGCCACTTTGGAGATGGGAGGTGAAGACGGCACAGATCCAGATGCAAAGACAGGTGATGCAGCCACTTTGGAGATGGTAGGTGAGTGTGGCACAGATCCAGATGCAAAGACAGGTGATGCAGCCACTTTGGAGATGGTAGGTGAGTGTGGCACAGATCCAGATGCAAAGACAGGTGATGCAGCCACTTTGGAGATGGTAGGTGAGTGTGGCACAGATCCAGATGCAAAGACAGGTGATGCAGCCACTTTGGAGATGGTAGGTGAGTGTGGCACAGATCCAGATGCAAAGACAGGTGATGCAGCCACTTTGGAGATGGGAGGTGAAGACGGCACAGATGCAGATGCAAAGACAGGTAATGCATCCACTTTGGAGATGGTAGGTGAAGATGGCACAGATCCAGATGCAAAGACAGGTGATGCAGCCACTTTGGAGATGGTAGGTGAGTGTGGCACAGATCCAGATGCAAAGACAGGTGATGCAGCCACTTTGAAGATGGTAGGTGAAGATGGCACATATCCAGATGCAAAGACAGGTGATGCAGCCACTTTGGAGATGGTAGGTGAGTGTGGCACAGATCCAGATGCAAAGACAGATTATGCAGCCACTTTGGAGATGGGAGGTGAGGATGGCACAGATCCAGATGCAAAGACAGGCGATGCAGCAGCTTGACAGTTTTTTTGTGATGCAGTTGGTGTTGACCTTTCAGACACAATCTTGTGTGGAATGCGTGGCATCTCCTCAGTGTACAATCTCAAGTGGTCAATATTAATTTTTGGCCAAATGACCCCTCTCTCATCTATCAGATCAGCATTCTTGCCTTTAATGTTTTTAATTTTGTATGGACCCAAAAAATTTGGATCCAATTTTCCGCCTTTTCTTTGCTGGCTCTGAACATTACACCTCCATACCTTGTTGCCCACAGAGAATTTCACTTTCTTCGCATTCTGTTCTTTCCTTGTCATTCTTTTTTGAACCTGAGCAGTGTGGGTAAGGGCAGTTTGAAGAATTGTATCAAGTTTCAGGACATCCTCAGTCATCTTTTCGATTCCTACGACAGCTTCAACAGAGCTGTCAATCTGAAAAAAAGGAACATTTGCTTCTAGTTTAAAATACCTGATCATCTCAAATTCATGTAAGTTTATACTGAATGCAATACATACACATAAAAATGAAACCAAACACAGAAGACAACAAACACCCACTTGACAATTTTCAGGGACCTCAGAGGGATACCGTGCCTCACGACCAAACATCATATAAAATGGAGATAACTTTGTCGTCATCTGTTTTTTGGTCCTTAGTCCAAACATGACAGCATCAAGGTGTTTGTCCCACTCCTTTGGTTTTTTGGAGACCAATTTGCTGAGAGCCCTTAAACATTTAATTTACATTAAAATAGTTTTAGCAAAAGATACTGTCTCTATAAATATATTTGAATACCATATTTATTTTATAACAGTTCTTGCTAATGCCATTATAGCTTTAAAATAAACAAATAACATTTTCTAATAGGCTTATTTAAGATATCCTTAAAGATAAGGATCTTTGTATAAAAATGTATGTACAGTATAAATTTAGTACCTCTGTATGGTCCCATTCATCTTTTCGACTAGACCGTTAGTCTGGGGGTGATAAGGTGAGCACAAACTCCTTTTGATGCCAAGAATTTTGGACACATTTTGGTTGATCTGATAATTTTAAAAAAATTGTTTTTTATTATAATCAATTTAGGTAAATATATTTTTTTAAACTACATTTGAGCAGTACAGCTTTTATTTACCTGATTAACAAACTCCCTCCCTTGGTCTGTGAGTATGCGTTTTGGTGCCTCAAACTGATAAAAAAACGTAATAATACATTTTGTGACCTCCTCTGCAGACTTACTTCTAAGTGGATAAGCCTGTGGCCATTTGGTCAAGTAATCGATCATAACGCAAATATATTGATGGCCACTGTCTGTGAGGGTGAGTTTCCCAATCAGATCCATTCCTAAAAGTTCAAAAGGGTGTGTAACCTTGCAAGAAATGTGGTAAAGGATAATTAGATAAAAATATTCAGTTAATTGTGTAAATATTCTAACTTGGTGCAGATGTAGGGTAAAGAAAGAAAAGAAGGTAGGAAGGACGGACAGACACAGTAGATAGATAGATTGATTACCTGTATAGGTGTAATTTTAACCTCTTCTTTAATTGACGCTTTGGTTGCCTGACATGCAACACATTCAGCCACCTGTTTAAAAACAAGTTATTAGTTAACATATAGAAGAAAGATTTTATTAAATTTATGGAGTTTTATTAAAAACCTTCAATGGATTTATTACCCATTTTTCAAGATCCACGGACATCCCTGGCCAGTAAAATCTTATGGATATGACATCCTTGGTTTTTTTCTGTCCACAATGTGCACCAATGCTGCTAGCATGAAACTCGATAAAACATTTATTTGCATCCTCTGCACCACAGATAACCTTCAGTCTCAGTTCACGGGCAGTACCTTTGTATCTTCTGTAGTACAGCTGACCATCTGAACGATTGAAAAACTATTAATTAAAGCATCAAACATGAATATGACATGACAATGTAAAGTACAACTAGACATCTCTCCATCGGGTCCCTTGTCAAACAATGTAAAACAAACCTTGTAAATAATGAAGTTTAACATGATATTAATTAATACAATGAAAATAACAGGCCTGGTAAAATTGTAATAACATTTGGTAACGCTTTAGATTACAGCCCGGAAAGTACTGCATAATTAAAGCGATTTTACAGTGTAACCTTTGGTAATTATAGTGTACCTATAACGTACTTACAATATAAGTATAAGGGAACAATATTTTAAGTTTGGGGAATAAAGGGGTAACAACCAGGAGAATTAAACAAATATTTATACTGTAAGTATAATAGAACTAAGGGGTACTTATTCTACTATTATGATATAACAATCTTGGTCCCACTTTATATTAAGTGGCCCTAATACCTGTGAACTTACATGGTTACTAGATATTTACTTAGTATGTAACTACAGTGTAAATACACATTGGTTCATAGTATTTACAACTGTAATATTTGTGTAACTACACATATGTAACAACCCACGGAAAGGTATGTGTAAGTACAAATGTGTAACGGTTTAACACATTGTATCAAGTGCAGAGTTCCTGAGGAGTTACCATGTATGTACACTGGTACCACAAGGGAAAACTTTAGCTGTAATTCAACATAGGTCCTGCCGGTCATATAGTAAATACATGGTATACACATAGGAATCATCATGGTTTCAGTGTGTTCTTAACTGGTAACTACAGTATGGAAGACTGCGTGTGGAAGTGGAACAACTTGTGTGAATACATGTTGTTGTTACAAAATGTAGTTACATAAATGCCTGTTACACATGTGTACTTACTGTAGTGGAAAAAGTGTTGTTACCAATGTCCTGTTACACATTTGTACTTACACATACCTTTCCGTGGGTTTACATTTACATTTACATTTACATTTAGTCATTTAGCAGACGCTTTTATCCAAAGCGACTTACAACTGAGGACTAAACCAAGCGAGTCATCGTGAAGAGGCAAAAACAACGCAAGAAGTGCTCAAAATACAAAGTTCAGACATAGCTCGGAGTAGCATAAGCCAGGCAAGCGAGGATTTAGAGGAAAGGATTTTTATTTTTATTTTATTTTTTTTAAATGTTATGTTAAGTGCTCCCGGAAGAGATGAGTTTTCAGTTGTCTTTTGAATGCTGTCAGGGATTCTGCATTTCGGATGAGGGTGGGGAGATCATTCCACCAGCATGGAACCGCGAATGAGAATGTTCTGGAGAGTGATTTTGTGCCCCGCTGTGATGGTACCACGAGCCGTCGCTCATTGACCGATCGTAGGCTTCTGGTAGGGATGTAGACTTGTAGTAGTGAGTGGAAGTAGGAGGGAGCTGAACCTGTGGTCAATCTGTAAGCAAGCGTCAAAGCCTTGAACTTGATGCGAGCAGCGAGTGGTAGCCAGTGCAGAGAGATGAACAGAGGAGTGACGTGGGCCCTTTTGGGCTCGTTGAAGACAAGACGAGCTGCAGCATTCTGGATCATTTGTAGAGGTTTAGTTGCACATGATGGAAGTCCAGCCAGAAGAGCATTGCAGTAATCAAGCCTAGAAATGACCAGGGCCTGGACGAGAAGTTGTGTTGCATGCTCAGTCAGGAAAGGCCTGATCTTCCTGATGTTGTGCATAGCAAACCTGCATGATCGAGCTGTCTTTGTAATGTGGTCTGTGAAGGTCAGCTGATCATCAAAGATTACTCCAAGATTTCTGGCCGACCTTGATGGGGTGATTGATGATGAATCTAGCTGGATAGTGAGGTCGTGCTGAAGAGACTGATTGGCAGGGAGGATGAGGAGCTCAGTCTTTGCCAGGTTGAGCTGCAGGTGATGTTCCTTCATCCATGCCGAGATGTCCGCCAGACAGCTTGAGATCCGTGCAGCTACTGTGGGATCATCTGGTTGAAATGAGAGGTAGAGCTGGGTGTCATCAGCATAGCAATGGTAAGAGAAACCATGTGCCTGTATGATGTGTCCCAGTGATGTGGTGTAAATGGAGAAGAGGAGCGGTCCGAGAACTGAACCTTGAGGAACCCCTGTGGTCAGTTGATGTGCTTTGGATACCTCACCTCTCCATGTGACCTTGAAGGACCTACCTGTGAGATAGGACTCAAACCAGTTGAGGGAGGTTCCAGTGATGCCCAGTGATGAGAGGGCGGACAAGAGGATCTGATGATTCACAGTGTCGAAGGCAGCAGACAGGTCCAGTAGAATGAGAACTGATGATTTGGAAGCAGCTTTTGCGATCCGCAGGGCTTCCGTGACTGACAGCAATGCAGTCTCAGTTGAATGTCCTTTCTTGAAGCCAGATTGGTTGACATCCAGCTGGTTGTTCAGAGACAGGAAGGATGATACTTGGTTAAAAGCAACTCGTTCAAGTGTGGTAGGAGAGAGACAGGTCTGTAGTTCTCTAGAAGTGATGTGTTTAATGTTGGTTTTTTAAGCAGAGGAGTTACCCGAGCCTGCTTAAATGCTGTAGGGAAAATGCCAGTGTGGAGGGATGAGTTGATAATGTGTGTGAGAGCTGGTAGAAGTGTGGGAGAGATGGCTTGTAGAAGGTGTGAGGGGATGGGGTCTAGAGGGCAGGTGGTAGGATGACTGGAGAGGAGAAGTTTAGATACTTCTTCCTCGGTTAGTGGAGTGAAGGAGGAGAGAAGGTTATTGGCTGTGGGAGAGGTTAGTCTGGGTTCCTGTGTGTGTGAATCTGAGAACTGACTGCTGATAGTTGTAGTTTTGTTAGTGAAGAAGTTAGCAAAATCATCAGCAGTTAAAGAGGAGGTGGGTGGTGGTGGAGGTGGACAGAGGAGAGAATTGAATGTCTTGAACAGTGAACGTGTGTTAGAGGCGCTGTTGATCTTGTTGTGGAAATATGAAGATTTTGCGGCGTGAACATCAACAGAGAAGGCAGAGAGCATAGATTGATAGCTACTGAGGTCAGATGTGTCTTTTGATTTGCGCCATTTCCTCTCCGCTGCCCTGAGCTTGGTCCGGTGTTCACGAAGAACCTCAGATAACCAGGGGTTGGAGGGGGCAGTGCGTGCTGGCCTAGAGGAGAGAGGGCAGATATTGTCTAAAGAAGAGGTTAGGATGGAGCATAAAGTATCCGTTGCAGTATTCACATCCAGAGATGAGAAATGTGAGGGTGAGGGAAGAGAAGATGACACAGCAGAGGAAAGATGGGATGGAGAAAGTGAGCGCAGGTTTCGTCTGAAAGTAAATGGTGGGGAGGTTGGTGGAGCATGGGTAGTGAGTTGTAGATTGAAAGTAATGAGGAAATGATCTGAAACTTGGAGAGGTTTCACCAAAATGTTGTCAGTGATACAGTTGCGTGTGTAAACCAGGTCCAGTTGGTTGCCTGACTTGTGAGTACCGGTGGTGATGAGCCGTTTGAGATCGAAAGAGGCTAGGAGAGAGATGAAGTCTGTTGCATACGGCTTCGCTAGGTGAATGTTGAAATCGCCAAAGACTACAAGTGGGGTGCCATCCTGAGGGAAAGAGGACAGCAACACATCCAGCTCTTCTACAAAGCTTCCCAGTTGACCTGGGGGGCGATAAATAACTACAATATGGATCTTCATGGGAGTTGTAAGTGTAATAGCATGATATTCAAATGAGTTGTTATTGCATAGAGAAGAGAGAGTTGAATATTTCCAATTGTTAGAAATGAGAAGACCAGTGCCCCCACCCCTCCCAGACTGTCGAGGGGTGTGGGAGAAAGAGAAGTTGTTAGAGAGAGCAGCAGGGGTTGCTGAGTCTTCTGGACGGATCCAGGTCTCAGTCAAGCCCAAGATATTAAGAGTAGAATGAGATGCAAAGGCTGGAATGAAGTCAGCTTTATTGACTGCTGATTGACAATTCCATAGACCCATTGAAAGAGTGAGAGGTGAGTGTGAGGATGAGAGAAAAGGGCGCAGATAAGCAGTATTGCGCTGCCTTCTGTGCGTGGTGAGAGAGCGTTGTCGAGAGACAACAGGAATGTGTTGAAAGCACAATAGGTTGTTACATAAATATTACAGTTGTAAATACTATGTACCAATGTGTATTTACCAAGCAGCAACCTCCCTGTCTCTCTCTTGAAACCAACACGGAAGTGAATTAAACTGCAATTCATCTACTGACCGCTTGAGGCTGGAGGCAGAAGTGAGTTAAATCTGCATCTCCCCCATGTTAAAATGCCCAACTTTACAGCAGAAAAAAACATGTTTACAGCATGGAGCAAAAAGTGGTTTTAGTCTATATAGCTAATTTTGCCCGTCATGACAACTGTGAGGGGGGTGAATTTTTTTACAACTCATCCGTTTAAATTATATTAAGACTGCATAATTAAGGGCGTGGCCATTTGAGTGACAGGCGGATTGCGGCCGTTTGTCTGCTGTCTGTTAGCGTCACTCTCAGCTAATTCCAGCCGCTGCTGTAGGCCTACTTGGCATCTCTGCCGTGTTTGTGCTTTTTCGGGATTACACACACTTGAATGAGCGCGGGTTTCTAGTGCATTTACTTGAACTACTGAGGTAATATCTTTGGTTTAACCCATTTGAGAAATTGAGAGGCGGCCAAAATCAGATTTTAAAATGGACTGAATAAAGCGCTTTACGAACTTGACGTGCGATGCCATGCTGACTGACATGTATGCGCATGAATCACTGTCACACGCACACACTCAGAGCAATATTGTAAGTTACTGCATGATAATACATTTTTATAGCAGAATAACAATACATCATACACAGTCTCACTTTTAGTTACGTCTTTTAACTATTATAATATTTCGAAGGGCAAAAACATGAACTATTGGCTTTAATTCTTCAATCAGCTGTCACTTTAGCGCGAGGCCAGTAGCATATAGCATTAGCACCTCAGCTCCACCCACGTCCCGCCTCTTTGCCCATTTTATTTTATCCGGTAGTGACGAGAGGTGACGGCCTGCCAAGATGGCGACGGCCGGTGTTGTGCCGAATTTCGACCCCCGCCAAATTATTACCCCCCTAGCATTGGTAGGTTTAGGATTAGTTGTGGGGGAGGGGGTAGGATTAGGGGCGGGGTTGGGATTAGGCAATCAGGTACTGACTTCAATGAGGGGGGTAATAATTTGGCAGGGGGTCGAAATTCGGCACAACACCGGCCCCGCCCACTTTAGGCTTCAAAAACGCTCTTCAGAAACCTACGGGTGACGTCACGGACACTACGTCCATATTTTTTTTACAGTCTATGGTATTTACACTGTAGTTACATACTAAGTACATATCTAGTAACCATGTAAGTTCACAGGTATTAGGGCCACTTAATATAAAGTGGGACCACAATCTTACATTAGGGAGCAATTTAGCAAGAACAGACACTGTGTACCTTTTCGAAATGGTGAACCAGTACATACTGTATAGCCTTTTTAAAAATAACAGGGTACATATATATGCATTTATAAAGTAATATTTTTAACAAAAGTGCACTGAAAACGAAAACTATTGCAACTTCTGCTTAAATATTGGGGAAAGATACTCTTGTTTCATGTAGTGGTGCTTGTTACCCTCTTGTTCCATGTAGTTACAGGGTAAGTACAATAAAAATGCATACACACAATCTTATCACTGACTCGGAAACCTTTATTTATTATACAAGCACCACTTACCCTGTCACCACATGAAACAAGATATATTTCCATTCCCAGTATTTAAAAATATTGCAATAGTCTTAGCTTTTCTTGCCTTGAAACATGTTAGCTCAAACTTAAACATCTGCACTTTTGCTTTAATTTTTTTTTTTTTTTTCTATTGTATTTGCATAGATATGTACCCTGTAATTCTTAAAAAGCCGATACAGTATGTATTGGTACACAATTATTACAAAAAGGTACGCAGTATATGTTCTCACTAAAATGCTCCCAAATGTAAGATTGTCATAATAAGATATCATAATAGTAGAATAAGTACCCCTTAGTTCTATAATACTTACAGTATAAATATTTGTTTAATTCTGGTTGTTATCCCCTTATTCCCCAAACTTTACATATTGTTCCCTTATACTTACATGCAAGTACTTTATAGGTACACTATAATTACAGAAAATTACACTGTAAATTCCTCTTAATTACACAGTACTTTCCGGGCTGTAATCTAAAGTGTTACCTAACATTTTATGTTGCAAATGGGTTTTATTTTATTTTTTTATTTGATTAATCACATAGTTGTAGTCACCTTCAATGTCATAAATGGCAGTTTTTTTCCGGAAATTGGACTTCTGATCCTTGGGTAATCCCTGAGGATACCCACCAACTATTTTGTAGGTCACAATAGCACTGTATGTTGCAGGATCCATAATCTACAGAACAAAAAGCACAAATTAATAAGTAAGGGTTGGTTGTCGAGAGGGGTTTAATGGCACAGATTTAATTGATGGTATTTTATAATCATCTTCACAAAAGTGTAACATAAATGCTTTCCCTCTTGATGTGCACTGATCCTGTAAGGGCCTTTAAATGTTAATAATATATATTAATATAAGTCATTCATTTATTCATTCATTCATTCATTCATTCATTCATTCATACATATTGACTTCTGAAACTACACTCAAACTAAAACATAGATAGCCAGACACATATTTTTTACAATATTTTGCATTGAAAGTAGTAAATAATGATATCACTTCTATATTTTGATGTAAGATCTGCAATGCAATGATAAAGTTACCATATAGCTAACACGCATAATTTACAAAAAGAAAACGGAGAAACTATACTGTCTAGCATACAAAAATCTCTCATAAAGTAATTTATTTTCTTTTTCTTTTTTGTTGCTTTCATGACATCCTCATAGTTGGCTATAATGTTTGTTCCACCACAGTGATTTAACACACATCAATCAACCCCCGTCAGCCCTACTCTAAAGGCCATTGCACAATTTCGAAATTTTCGTATGCGTTTTTTCGTATTCGTGATTCGGAGGCTGTGAATTGTCAAAACACCATTCAAACCCCATTCAAACTGCTTGCAACGGATGCGAAAAACGCAGTTTTTTTTATGACGCACGAAAGTTTCGGAGGCGGTGTGCATATGGAAGAATTAAATGGACTTTAATATTTGTAACCCACAGAAGACAATCTACAAATGTGTACAATGATGCGCAAATATTTCTCTATCTGCAAATGTGTATTTTTACATTTGTGATGTGTAAAATCATATCCACAAAAATAAAGGGTGATGTGTACAACACAAAACATTTTTTACGCATTTGCAGATCAGTTCCTGTGAATTTGTGGGTCACGTTACATTTGTAAGTTTTTTTTACACATTTGTGGAATTTTGTCCAGTGTGTACTGCGCAGATCTGTAAATAAACATATACACAAATATCTCACGATTTGCAAATACACACAATTCAATCTGTACAAATATCTTTTTATTTCACATACAAATTGTGATTTACGCATTTGTGGATCCATTTCTACACACAAAACTGTTTTTACACATTTGCAAATTGCTTCCTGGCAATTTGCAGGTCACGTGACATTTGCAACTCCCTTTTACACATTTGTGGATTTTTGTCCACTTTGTCCCGCTGCGATCTGCAAAAAAGAGATTTGTAAGCCGTGTGTGTGAGAGCAGTTAATTAGCCACACCAGCAGGTGGCGGTAGCGACATTCTCTCCCATGAACTCCGAGGATATCGACTGTCTATGGCTATGCCACTGCACTCCCCCAGCGTTATCCTCATCTAACTCGTTAATACACAAATGCCACATCTTTTTAATCGTAGTAACGTAGACAAGCAGCTACAACCTATTTTTCCGCGAAACGAGCTTTCCTTCGAAGTGGATAAAATACATTGATCTAAATGCGCAGGCGGCCGAGAGACCGATCCGAACTAAGGGACCGTCTTCAAAGTGCAAACCCCGAAAAGCGCTGCTACGAAAACAGTCAATAACTTCAACTGTCACACACTACAGTGCCTGCTTACAAATTAGAGAAAATCACTTTATTATAAGAGACGTTTGAAGTACGTTATAACGAGTCATTAATGTATTTTAACTTATATGTTTCATATACTAGTATATAACCGAAGCTGTAGATTGTAAATTTAAACATTTCTCGTTCTTAGTGTTTTTTAGTTAGCTTAAATAGTAGCATAGCATTTATCCGATGATTCGTGCTAGCTGAGATTTACCGCAGCTTATACTGCCTTTTGTCATTGTTTTTGTCTTAATAATCAGTGCGATATGTTGTTAATATGAATTGTTTGTCTAACCTTGATTACAGGACAGTGTAATAAAAATGACGGAATCACAAATTGTAATGTAATCATTATCAAACTTAATTCATATCATATTTTTATTTTTTATCCTGATTAATGAAAGAAATAGCATTTTCAGGTATGTTTTGCAACGTTAAGTTCTTTGTTATTAAACAATAAGGCATAATACTTTTTTTTATTATTACATGCATAATTCATATGATTTGTCATAATTATTTCTTAAAACAGTACATCAAACAATACAATAGCATGCAATGCAATGAAATTGGTGATCCAACACTTACAGGCTATTATAATAAAATCTGATTAAATTACACAATACAATACTAAATGATTTCAACTGAATTACGAGATGTAATGCATTATATTTTTATTAACACAGAACTACAAGCAAAATGAACATTTACATGGACATTTATAGAGCTTTTTAAAATACACAACAATACAGAACAGCTTTAAACAGAGATACTGTAGGAAACTTTCATTTCCCAAATACTTTTGTGATAGTCCTTCTGGCTATACAGTGTGAAGATCTGAAGGAAAATATCTTCATAGCTGTGTGAACAATGTGGAATTAACTGTAAGGTTAAATATTTTGAGAGAAAGGTTTATTTTTTTAGGTCCATCCTGGATTAACCAACTAGACTCAAATAGATGCAGTGTCTTTTGCTGTATGTAAAGTCAAATCTGTAATTTGAAGTGATTCATATTGTATGTGCAGTCATTTTTTGCTATCTTGAGGCCTAGATGATGCAGTCAGGTCATGAGACGTGGAGGCTGAGGAACTCTGAAAAACACACAAACATGCTGTAACACATGCATTTTGTACACACAAAGTCTGTTGTGCTGTGTAACATCACTCACTGTTTTAGCTTAGATGGGCAAACTGGAAGGCACAGCGCAGCGGGCGTAGTTAGCTCGCTGAACCTTGTCGTAATTTCCCCTTGGCAGGATGGGGTCATGACTTGTTGGAAGAGGAGGCTGGACTGGCTGAGGAACTCTGAAAAACACACAAACATGCTGTAACACATGCATTTGTACACGCAAAGTCTGTTGTGCTGTAACCTCACTCACTGTATTAGCTTAGATGGGCAAACTGCAAGGCACAGCGCAGCGGGCAATTACAAGGCCATTTTAATGTCACACTCCACAAGATAAGACATCTCAGCCCAAAAGTGACTGAAACCTTCCATTCGTCTCAGTATTATAAGGCTGATCTGAGTTATGATGCTTATATAAGATGAGTTATGATGTATCTGAGTCAACATAAAAATATCATGTCCCTGGGTCAACACAAGATATTTCATTATTACTCAAATTAAAAAGATTACATCTTATACTATAGATATTATATTAACATTATGATTATTTAAATTCTGTGATTGATTACTGTTTGTCTAATATTAGATGAGTAATAAGGAATGATGTCCCTGCAGATAAATGTGATGTTCCTGGGTCAATAGAAATAAAAAATACTCATTTCAAAATGTTATAATAAACAACGTATAATCCTGAAACGTCAATGTGAGAAGAGCCTTTACTTATTCAGTACACAACCACAAATCTGTGTAATGCTTCTGACAAGACAGTAGTACGGAAGACTAATTGACTGCTTGAAGAAGGTCATTGCTGATGGGGGTGGCTGTTCACGGAGTGCTGGATTGAAGCATATTCATGGGAAGTTGACTGATGGTTAAAGTGTGGTAGGAAAAGGTGCACAAGCATCTGGGATGAGTGCAACTTTGAGAGGATGTCAGGAAATGCAGATTCAAGTTCTTGGGGGAGTTTTACAAGAAGACGACTGAGGCTGGAGTCAGAGCAACAAGACCCAGGCCATCCTTAAAAATATTTTGGTTTGCAGTAACAGCAAAAAAAAAAAAAAAAAAAAAGGGCCTATAGGTAGGTAGGTAGGCCTATATTTTTTTTTTTCAATATTCAATGTAAAAAAAAAAAAGTTAAATTTTGGTCATGGTAAGAATTTAAACACATTTGCATATCGTGACGTCACTGACTGTGTCTTCAAACCGTGCCTTCGGGCGCACCTTTGCAAACCTCATTCTGATGCAGGTTATATAGATATGTCAAAAACATTTTTATTCCAGCTGCATTTATTTGATTTTTTTGTGCCAAAATCAAGAAAAGAAAAAAAAGCCACTAGAGTTCAATGAAAGTGGATTTTCAGAGGTAAACAAATAAATTAAAATGACTTTAGAATTCACAAAGTAACAGTTAATTAGATTAACATGCAATGTCATATCTATGAGAAAACAGCTTTTTTTTTCATATCAGAGAGACACAGTGTAAATAACTATAAAGTCAACTCTATTTTTCCCCCAGTTCACCGGCCACTTACTTTCATGTATTTCGGGAGAAACTGATGAATTCACGCGCTGTAATAAATCCAACAGACAGAAATCTCTGAACTGCGGCCCAAACGGCGGCCATCTCACGTTACAGATCAAGATAATTTATAGTTTTTTTTAAACGACAAAACAAACTCACTTATACATATTTGAGAATCGGAATAGAAGATAGTTCATGACTTGGTAATCAAGTTTGTTCATATTTAGAAATAAAAGCGCTAAATCTGTCATACAGCGCTATTTTGGCTGTGGTGAATCACGTGCCAAGCATGACGTGTCACCATGGAAACGGGACGGGACGGGACGGGGGGGGGCATCACGATTTTTAGCCGATGCCGTCTAAACCATAGACATCATATCTCTATATGATATCTATGGTCTAAACATCGTGATGTCTGTCAGCCATCATTACCAAGCGCGAACCACTGACAGTGAATGAAACGAAGCGAACGTGTCTAGGCCACATGTGACATGCGTATGCCATGGTGTAAACATAATCATAGACGCCGCGGGTTTATATCTAAAAGAAAGAACGTAGCCCATGTAGGCTTTTTATACTCACAATACTTACTAAAATATGATTAATATTTTATTATTAGGGGCCAAGCATCGAAGGTGCAGAGGCACCTATTCTATCTGTTCCGGTTCTTATTAGGGGCCAAGCACCGAAGGTGCGGCGGCACCTATTGTATCTGTTCCGGTTCTTCTTATTATTATTATTATTATTATTATTCCAACCAGGTGTCTATGGCAGCCCATAGAACCGTGTCCGGGAAAGTTGTTTTGGTTTGACATTCTGATAGAGGACAGACCCAACATCAAATACACCAATTTTGGTGTTTCTAACTCCTATGTCATCACAAGCATAACCTGAGGCTACATGCTGCGTTTCGGCGCAGCGCCACCTACTGGTCTTGAGATATGAAAAATTGCTATTTTTGCTCATAACTTCTGAACAGTTTGTCCAAAAATCATGAATGTGGTCTCGTTAGATTCAGGGCGTCATGCCGAGTCGGCTGATATCCAATTTTCCCAGATCGGCCATTTTGACTGTCGGCCATTTTGAAATACGTGCTAAAATGCTGTATTTTTGGAACGCATGAACGAATTGTTACGAAACTCGGTATGGGTCATCAGTACGATGCCCTGAAGGAGCCTGAGAAGTTTCGAAACAGCGCCACCTAATGAGTTATAACTCTGGCTGCGGTTGACTTATTTTCACGGGAGTCATCTCGTTGAGGTCCTGAATCCTTGCCGAGTCCACAGATACCAAACATGCTAGGTTTCGACTTAGTTTGTGTAGCGTTGTGATTTAGCACTTAAAAAACAGTTGCCGATATCTTCGAAACCGCTAGTCCAATCGAGACGAAACCACCGTCAGAAGTTTGGAAACATAGGTCTATATATTAAACAAATGCCCAAATGCCCAAATATTGATAGTAAGGGGTCATAAAATTCAATCAAAGTCACGTGTCAGTCATTTTTGACGTGTTTTTTCACAAAAATGTCTATAACTCCGAAGTGAATTGAGATATTTTCACCAAAACCGACACACATATGTATGGGCTCACTCTGAGGACACAAATAGTACAGAGACTGAATAAAGTAATCAAATGTAAAATAACACTGGGTAGTGTTTTTGTCCTGAGAACTAAATTAAATACATAGGATATTATTCCCGATTCTTTCAAATGAAAGCTATGTTTTGTTGTTTTGACAACCAAATGAATGAAAGACCATGGCTGCTGTCACTGTAAGAGCTCGTGCACAGATCCTGTAACCAATAACATTATACGGTCACGTGCGATGTATGCTAAGACATAACCGAGGATACACACGCCAGTCACCATAAACGAAATTGACATAATTTTCGCATGCTTTTGACTGTTAAAGCGATATACAAAACCCGGTATGGTGTTTTGACTCAGATACATCATAACTCATCTTATATAAGCATCATAACTCAGATCAGCCTTATAATACTGAGACGAATGGAAGGTTTCAGTCACTTTTGGGCTGAGATGTCTTATCTTGTGGAGTGTGACATTAAAATGGCCTTGTAATTGCCCGCTGCGCTGTGCCTTGCAGTTTGCCCATCTAAGCTAATACAGTGAGTGAGGTTACAGCACAACAGACTTTGCGTGTACAAATGCATGTGTTACAGCATGTTTGTGTGTTTTTCAGAGTTCCTCAGCCAGTCCAGCCTCCTCTTCCAACAAGTCATGACCCCATCCTGCCAAGGGGAAATTACGACAAGGTTCAGCGAGCTAACTACGCCCGCTGCGCTGTGCCTTCCAGTTTGCCCATCTAAGCTAAAACAGTGAGTGATGTTACACAGCACAACAGACTTTGTGTGTACAAAATGCATGTGTTACAGCATGTTTGTGTGTTTTTCAGAGTTCCTCAGCCTCCACGTCTCATGACCTGACTGCATCATCTAGGCCTCAAGATAGCAAAAAATGACTGCACATACAATATGAATCACTTCAAATTACAGATTTGACTTTACATACAGCAAAAGACACTGCATCTATTTGAGTCTAGTTGGTTAATCCAGGATGGACCTAAAAAAATAAACCTTTCTCTCAAAATATTTAACCTTACAGTTAATTCCACATTGTTCACACAGCTATGAAGATATTTTCCTTCAGATCTTCACACTGTATAGCCAGAAGGACTATCACAAAAGTATTTGGGAAATGAAAGTTTCCTACAGTATCTCTGTTTAAAGCTGTTCTGTATTGTTGTGTATTTTAAAAAGCTCTATAAATGTCCATGTAAATGTTCATTTTGCTTGTAGTTCTGTGTTAATAAAAATATAATGCATTACATCTCGTAATTCAGTTGAAATCATTTAGTATTGTATTGTGTAATTTAATCAGATTTTATTATAATAGCCTGTAAGTGTTGGATCACCAATTTCATTGCATTGCATGCTATTGTATTGTTTGATGTACTGTTTTAAGAAATAATTATGACAAATCATATGAATTATGCATGTAATAATAAAAAAAAGTATTATGCCTTATTGTTTAATAACAAAGAACTTAACGTTGCAAAACATACCTGAAAATGCTATTTCTTTCATTAATCAGGATAAAAAATAAAAATATGATATGAATTAAGTTTGATAATGATTACATTACAATTTGTGATTCCGTCATTTTTATTACACTGTCCTGTAATCAAGGTTAGACAAACAATTCATATTAACAACATATCGCACTGATTATTAAGACAAAAACAATGACAAAAGGCAGTATAAGCTGCGGTAAATCTCAGCTAGCACGAATCATCGGATAAATGCTATGCTACTATTTAAGCTAACTAAAAAACACTAAGAACGAGAAATGTTTAAATTTACAATCTACAGCTTCGGTTATATACTAGTACATACCTGTCAACACTCCCGTTTTTTCCCGGGTTTCTCCCGTTTTTTAGCCCTATCTCCCGGACCCCTCCCGGTTTGTTATTTCTCCCGGGAAACTCCCGTAATTTGCATGGCCCAAACTCCTTTATGAATAATCGGACCAATATGTTTGTCTAATGTTGACCAGTTGCCAGATTGTATTAAATGCATTATATTCACACAATCCACAGACCATTTACAATTTCAACCCGTTTGTCACCTCAACCTGGCAACCTATAACACAGTTGCGCAGTCGCGGAAAGTTTAACCCGAAAGCGAGCCGATATGGCAGGTGAAGGTGGTGTCCCCGTAATGAAACTGAAGTACAGTTTGTAACGCGTTGCTTCAGGAAGATTAGGGATAGCTCACAACTGAAGTTATTGCATGCAGAGGCCAGACAGACACACGGAGGCGATTGGCATCTCACAACTCGCACTTTATTCCCAAATCGAACTCGTAGCCTAACTGTCTGTCACACGTTCTACCGTCCACATCGTTACTTAATAGACAAAATAAGATAAAAATTAGCATAAAACAAAAATTACCCGCATACATGGGGTGTTCGCATAGACAGTAAAAGAGGTGTTCGAGGCCCATACAAGCACATACAGGCACATGCAATACAATACTGCCGACAGTTCAACAGGGAGCGCACAGCTCTTAAAGGGGACACACCTTATTTCCAGTCGTTACAAGTTGTACATCCCCCCCACCCCCACCCCCCCCCCCCCCCCCCCCCCCCGCAGGAGAAATCTCCCGGATTTTGAAAACCAAATGTTGACAGGTATGTACTAGTATATGAAACATATAAGTTAAAATACGTTAATGACTCGTTATAACGTACTTCAAACGTCTCTTATAATAAAGTGATTTTCTCTAATTTGTAAGCAGGCACTGTAGTGTGTGACAGTTGAAGTTATTGACTGTTTTCGTAGCAGCGCTTTTCGGGGTTTGCACTTTGAAGACGGTCCCTTAGTTCGGATCGGTCTCTCGGCCGCCTGCGCATTTAGATCAATGTATTTTATCCACTTCGAAGGAAAGCTCGTTTCGCGGAAAAATAGGTTGTAGCTGCTTGTCTACGTTACTACGATTAAAAAGATGTGGCATTTGTGTATTAACGAGTTAGATGAGGATAACGCTGGGGGAGTGCAGTGGCATAGCCATAGACAGTCGATATCCTCGGAGTTCATGGGAGAGAATGTCGCTACCGCCACCTGCTGGTGTGGCTAATTAACTGCTCTCACACACACGGCTTACAAATCTCTTTTTTGCAGATCGCAGCGGGACAAAGTGGACAAAAATCCACAAATGTGTAAAAGGGAGTTGCAAATGTCACGTGACCTGCAAATTGCCAGGAAGCAATTTGCAAATGTGTAAAAACAGTTTTGTGTGTAGAAATGGATCCACAAATGCGTAAATCACAATTTGTATGTGAAATAAAAAGATATTTGTACAGATTGAATTGTGTGTATTTGCAAATCGTGAGATATTTGTGTATATGTTTATTTACAGATCTGCGCAGTACACACTGGACAAAATTCCACAAATGTGTAAAAAAAACTTACAAATGTAACGTGACCCACAAATTCACAGGAACTGATCTGCAAATGCGTAAAAAATGTTTTGTGTTGTACACATCACCCTTTATTTTTGTGGATATGATTTTACACATCACAAATGTAAAAATACACATTTGCAGATAGAGAAATATTTGCGCATCATTGTACACATTTGTAGATTGTCTTCTGTGGGTTACAAATATTAAAGTCCATTTAATTCTTCCATATGTGCAAGCGTGATTGACAACGTGAGGTCGTATTTATTTTTTAACGTGCGAAAATGTGTGCGTGCAATGGCCTTAAATCTGCCTATAATGTGACAATGGAAACATATTTACCTTTCAAAAGGACGATATCGATGGAAAGAAAAGTTCTTCTGCACAGCTGCTTTTAGATCCTGTATATTTACGTTTACGCATAGGCCTACTAACTCCTTGAAATTAAATTTGTGCAGTTTTTAAGAAAATGAACAGTGTCATATAATCTGTCAATTAAGATATGATCCTAATTACACGTGTAACACTCCTACCGTTTCACCTCCTCTTCGGCACACACTCACAGCATCATCGCACCCAGGGCCGAGTCCTGATTGGTCGATCGTTCACATGATCAGGTGATGGACAAAACATGACGCTTTCAAATTGTACAACAAGGACAGCAAGAACGAAGTAACATAGTAAAAAACGCACACCTTTATTTGTGTTCTCATTTGTATGCATTGTTATTTAAAGTTGAATTGTAGCCATATTAGTTTTATTTTATTACACTGACAATCGATGAATAAACTTTCTAGACATTCATATTCAATTCATATTCAACAAAATAATTTTTACAGAATAACAAAATCACAATTAATAATGTCCAAAATACAACAAAACCAACTGAAAACAAAAAAAAAAGTCCTAGTTAAAGAGATTTGTTTATTAACTCTGATTACAGTGTATGTGGCCTACTTATACTTGAGGGGATGACACACTGCACAAAAACACATTGCACACTATTATTGCTATTTGACCAAATAAATTACAACACTCTTAATTTATAAAAAAAAAAAAAAAAAAAAAAAAAACATAAGAATGGTGGGGGTGGGGTAGTATAATCCAGGTAGGTGGATAACAATGGGCCTGTCCAAATTTTTCCCCCCTAAAAACTAAATCTGCCCTGCATGCTAGAATGAAATGTAGCATTTTACACACAGTATTGCTGGTGTAGGTGTATCAGACTCATTTTAGGGACCATTTGTGTATTTAGAGAGAAGAAATAGGGGGGTATAATCCAGGCAGGGGGGTAAAACGGACCTGCCCAAATAATACCCCCCCTAATAACTAAATCTGCCTATGCTAATATAGTGAAATGTAGCATTTTACACACAGTATTGCTGGTGTAGGTGTATCAGACTCATTTTAGGGACCATTTGTGTATTTAGAGAGAAGAAATAGGGGGGTATAATCCAGGCAGGGGGGTAAAAACGGACCTGCCCAAATAATACCCCCCCTAATAACTAAATCTGCCTATGCTAATAGAGTGAAATGTAGCATTTTACACACAGTATTGCTGGTGTAGGTGTATCAGACTCATTTTAGGGACCATTTGTGTATTTAGAGAGAAGAAATAGGGGGGTATAATCCAGGCAGGGGGGTAAAAACGGACCTGCCCAAATAATACCCCCCCTAATAACTAAATCTGCCGATGCTAATATAGTGAAATGTAGCATTTTACACACAGTATTGCTGGTGTAGGTGTATCAGACCCATTTTAGGGACCATTTGTGTATTTAGAGAGAAGAAATAGGGGGGTATAATCCAGGCAGGGGGGTAAAAACGGACCTGACCAAATAATACCCCCCTAATAACTAAATCTGCCTATGCTAAAAGAGTGAAATGTAGCATTTTACACACAGTATTGCTGGTGTAGGTGTATCAGACTCATTTTTGGGACCATTTGTGTATTTAGAGAGAAGAAATAGGGGGGTATAATCCAGGCAGGGGGGTAAAAACGGACCTGACCAAATAATACCCCCCTAATAACTAAATCTGCCTATGCTAAAAGAGTGAAATGTAGCATTTTACACACAGTATTGCTGGTGTAGGTGTATCAGACCCATTTTAGGGACCATTTGTGTATTTAGAGAGAAGAAATAGGGGGGTATAATCCAGGCAGGGGGGTAAAAACGGACCTGCCCAAATAATACCCCCCCTAATAACTAAATCTGCCTATGCTAATATAGTGAAATGTAGCATTTTACACACAGTATTGCTGGTGTAGGTGTATCAGACCCATTTTAGGGACCATTTGTGTATTTAGAGAGAAGAAATAGGGGGGTATAATCCAGGCAGGGGGGTAAAAACGGACCTGACCAAATAATACCCCCCTAATAACTAAATCTGCCTATGCTAAAAGAGTGAAATGTAGCATTTTACACACAGTATTGCTGGTGTAGGTGTATCAGACCCATTTTAGGGACCATTTGTGTATTTAGAGAGAAGAAATAGGGGGGTATAATCCAGGCAGGGGGGTAAAAACGGGCCTGGACAAATAATACCCCCTAAATCTAACGCAACATTAGTGTTTTCAGAACACTATAGGCACAGCCGCACAGGAACAGTTTCTTCATGCCATTTTCCTTTTGAACAGTTAAATCCCTACCAAGGCATATGCCTGTAAGTGTAATACTCCCAGTCTCCCACTGTTTAGTGCAATCTTTCTTAACACAGTTGATATCTATTAATATTATTCATAATACTGTAAATATGTTCATAATCTGTAAATGTTCATTATGACTAAACCTATCGTGTCTTTATACTTTTATATTTTATTCTTATCATTGTATTACTATGTTTCTTGTTGTATCTGTTAGTGCACTGGAAGCTTCAGTACCAAGACAATGTGCAAAAGCAAAATTGGCAATGCAGCTCATTCTGATTCTGATTT